TAAATTTATTTATGGAAAGGTGAAAAAAGTTGACTTCAGCATCCCAAGGATTAAAGGGCAATAGTCGTTGTGTCACACATGCGCGAGATATATAGGCAGTGTTCTCCACGAGGGGTTTAAGAGGGGCGCAGCGTCCCTCTTAATTTATTTGCGCCCCTCTTCAATTTATAGCGCCCCTCTATTTATCTTCAGCGCCCTCCATTGTTTTCGGTAAACAGCTGTTTCACGAGTCCCGGAAGATGTCCCAACGACGTTATTGAGAGACCTCTTATTAATTGACAAGCGATAAAACAAAGAACTAAGAGACAGATAGTGGCATAGGTGACAACTAGGACAATGGATTGAATGTCTAGGGAAAAACTGGCTGAATAAATAAACAAAAAACAATGGATAGATGCGTGAAGTGATTGTCTCAAGCATTGCGTTATTCACGCAATGGGAGAGTCAAAACAAGTTCCCTCATCATTCCTGAAGTAGCTTAGATACTTGAGAACCGAAGAACCAGCAACAATTTATTGGTCTAAATGCTTGTTACTTGCCTTTTATTGGTGAAAAGTAAAAAGAATCATCAAATAAATCACCAAAACAAAATGTACGGTAAACACTGAAACAACAAGGATGACACTGTATCTGATTTGACCTTTGTCCTCAGTACCCATAACGCAATCAATATAATGATCAATTTATTTACAGTCATTGGATTCGATTTTTTCTTTTTTTTTAAATGGTAATTTTGTTATGTGAAAATATGTTTCTTCTTATTACTTGGGTTTTTCAACTATTACAATATGTCAGAGCATTTATAAAACTTTTGAAAATGAAAATACTTGAAAGAAATTTAAAAGAAATGAATGAAAGGCTAGAATTTCACAACTTGTTCCATTGCAGAGAATAAAATTGATATTCTTCATTTGTCAAAGTTGATATTTTTTTACATCAAGTGGCTTAATTTATTCATCAAAATAATTCAAGACCATTAATATAGTACTTGTACACAGTATTTAAGGTTGCTGTAAATATAAAAGTGCTAAGAATTTTCTTTGAAATGTTTGATTGGTATGCTAATTATATGCAACTTAGATATGCTAATTATATGCAAATTAGTGCCCCTCTTTAAATTTTATTTGTGGAGAACACTGATAGGTCTCATATAAACAAGGATGGCGACTTTGGCTGTTTAATTAGGTATTTTTTGGGTGATTGGAAGTTATCGAAGGAGTCGCCGATGGTAATTAGTACAAGACGTGCCCAGGTCCGACCTCATACTTGTGATTTCCATTAGAAGAGTGGACTGGATTGTGGGAAATCAATGTTTATCAACACAAATGTCGCACATGCGCGTCGCGACGACCACCACCCTTTAACATCTGGAACTGTCACCTAGTTAAAAAATTTGTAAAAAAAATGACAAATGTAATGTGTGTTCACCCACAGGAGGATGGAACATGACAAACACTTTAAAGACGAGGAAGATAAAACGAAGAGGGACCACGAGAGGGAGCTTGCTGATTTGAAGGCAAGACTCAGTAAGGAATTAGAAAATGCTAAATTAGATTTACTAAATGATAAAGAAGATGCTCTCAGAGAATTTAAACAAAAGATAAAACAAGAACAAGATAAAGAAGAACGAGAAATTGAACAAGAAAGAGACGCAAATATTAAGTAAGTAAAATGGGTACAATTAGTGCCATTTCAGAACCAAGTTAGTTTTTTTCTGTGTTAGTGCTAGCTGTGGGTACTAGCATATTACTTTAATTTTCGCTATTTTCGCTGAAGGAATTATTCAGTGAAAATAAAATCCAACGATATACCTTTTTTCCTATATTTCACATTAAACTCGTCAGAAATCAGTGAAAATATATGCAAAATGCCAAAAAAATCTTTTCAGCGAAAATTAATTCTAGCTCAAATAAAGTATTTTACAGTATGTTATTGGCTAAATAAAGTTATCATTAGCCACATTCAAGTTGTAATACTGTGGAATACTTTATTTTTTCGCTGGAATTAATTTTCACTGAAAAGGCTTTTTGGGCGTTTTGTATGGAATTTATTTTCACTGATTTTTGATGAGTTTAATGTGAAATAAGGAAAAAAAAAGTATATTCGCTGGATTTTATTTTCACAGAATCATCCCTTCAGCGAAAATAGCGAAAATTAATTCCAAGCGAAAATAAAGTATTCTACAGTACTTGTATTTATTATGCATGTCATAATTGTCTCACTAGATACATGTAGGTATCCTGCTTTGTGTAGTAGATAATATTTCCTATATTGTAATTTCAGATTTTAAGTTAAGTTATTATGGCTAGTCAATTACGAATCACATTAGTCACATTAAATTGCAGTAATCATATACGTGGCTAATATGCAGCGCTAACACAGTTTATATAACCTATATTCCCAATATACCTACATGTATGCTGCCTTTTGGAATCACGTTAGTTTTATATATTAATTAACTAATTTTCAGCATCTTGAACACATGTGACTTTCTCACCGTTTCTCACATTATCATGTCATGGGAAAAGTGGGACAATGAAAACATTTCATTGAATAACAAAATTTGAAAATGTATTATGCGTCATTAGCTAAAACACAATCCACAGAATGGCAGACATAGCTTATTAAAATATACATCTGATACAGGAAACAATAGAAAACATTTACTGTTCATACTATACAGATGTGTTGAAAGTGTAATGAATATGTCTTCTTTATATGGAAAGTGTGTATCACATTTACATCACATTCAAACAGAATTAGCTATTATTTTAGCATAACAGAAATTGAATCCCATCACTCAACACAAATATTTGCATAAAGCAAAATAGTTTTCGTTGCCATTTCGGATTTTTTTTTTAATTACTTCTGCAGGCAGGAAAAAGATGTATAATAATATTATCACAAGAATACTGCATAATATGCACCCAGGCAATACAACGATTTTATGATCGGCACCAAGTGGAGGTTGATACATTCCTATACTGCCAGAGTGTACATTAATCTCATAGTGTGACTGATTATTATCTTCCATGTATTCACAGCAAACCGAAATGTGTTGATCCTCAAAGTTTGAAGGTCTCGTAATTTCTACCAAATCAAACAGTCATCTACAGTATTCAAGATTCTAAAAAAATTGGACATTTTGTATTAATCCCTCTGGTATTCAATTATAAATAAATTACTGGTAATACAACTGTATGTACTTTATTTACATCACCACATTTGGGTATTACTGTGAATTGATTTAAATATGTCAGATACTGTTTGCAAAGTCAGAGAAAACTGCAAATTTTGTAACAATTTCACTTTGGTCCTTATCCGTTTTGTGGAAACATGCAATCTGGGACCCATATTGAACATAATTTGCAGTATTTTGACAACGATGTGATTGATTGATGTATGTTTATTACAGAACATTGAGGAAAGATGTGAGAGACTCACATGAAGACGAGGAAGCTAGGCTGCAAGAAAGTAAATCGGATTCCTTACGCAAACTACGTGATAAGATCCGAAGAGAACAAGAGGAAGAAGAAAAGAAACTTAGGTTAGTTGATGTGGGTTGTCATGGAAATGGCTCAGCCTGGCATTTCAATCACAATTATAAACAAGACAGTTATTCATAATTTACTACAGTTATAATAGCGTGTGAACCAGTCTGCCCTCTAAGCCATATTATATATCACTGATGCACAGATATTTTATTTTATGCAATAGGTTATACTTATTCTCTGGCATGTCATTTATGAAGCAGAAAATTAGAAATGCATCCATCTATATTTAGGGAATTTGTAATTGAGTCAAATATAATACCCCCAAAAAATGTGTAAAAACAAAGGCAATCAGGTGTAACAACAGTTTGTGCTTTCAGAAACTCCCAACAGCCACATATCTATTTGCAGAAATGTGTTGGACATTGACCAATCACATGCCAGTTTGTGTATATGTTAATGATAAGTTAACATGCTTATCTTTGACAAATCATATCTGTTAATTTATTCTAATGATTTACTTATAAACATACTTGACTTTGACCAATTACGTGCAAGAATATGAGTTGCTAATTTATACTAATGATACATTAACATATTTGACTTTAACCAATTACATGCCAGTATATGAGAATGTATTAATGATGACATTAACATATTTGATTTTGACCAATTACATGCCAGTATATGAGTATGCTAATTTATGCTAATTGTTACAGAAATGAGTTAGAGCAGTCAATGCAAAAACTTAAAGATGAACTGCAAGATTTACAAAAGAATGATAAAACTAACTTAGAAGAAGAAAAACAGAAAGCCTTGAATAAAATCCAGAAAGAAGTGGAAGAAGCTGTCAAAGCAGAGAAGAGAAAGTTGGAAGAGATGAAAGTCAAGGTATGTTTTTCTTCTACAACTTTGTCCAATTGTCCAGTCACATTATTTACTGTGTTCTTCTTAAGTTCAGTTATTCTGTTATATTCACAATGCATGTATCTGTTTTGCTCCCACTTTTGAGTAAAAATTTCCCACGAGAAAGTGTCTGAAGAGCATCTGTTAGGACTGTGTAAACAAAAGTTTTGTACAGAAGGATGATAGAGGGCATTCTTTATTCAAACTTAAAATTGTGCTAATTCTCTACAGGGAGTGGATGAAACAAAGGAGAAACTTGACTCTGATCTGCAGACGATGATTGATGACCTAGAAAAGAAACACTCAAATAAGATGGAACAGAAGAGAAAACAATTGGTGGAAAAACATGAAAGGGTAATTAAGTTCTTTCTTTCTAATTATTATTTGAATCGGACAGCGTTGTGCATGAAACATTACATATTGTGAATATTGTGAATTTAAATCAAGTAACAATGAATAATAGAACTCATATACGTTTAAAATAATCAAAATAGTGAAATGAAATACAAATAAAAATGTTTTTTTTACAATACCGTATTTCCCCTATTAAAATTGTGAAATTAAATACGAATAAAAAAGATTCTTTACAATACCATTAGTAGCACATGCGCCTACATAAAATGTATTAGCCAAAAATTTAATAATGCTTTATTGGGTTAATATATTGACAAAATTGTCAAACAACAAAGGAAAAAAATAATTAAATGTTGTGTGTCACAAAATAAAAATATGTCAAGTAGTTTGATAATTACAGAACAGTGTCTGTAATCAAAATAATTCATATTTTAATAATTTAGATTACAATAAATGTATACATGCACTCAGATTGGAGATTTGTTCCTGATGAAGCAAATATGGTTCTAATTGTAGTAGAAAGCACATTGGGGATGTGATCTGTTTATCAAAACAAATATTTTAAAAGTATGTATTTCCATCATTGGCGTCACTATACTATGTCTGAGACTACTAGAGAATTAAGATTGTTGGTTTTCATTGCTTTCTGTTGAACAGGAAATGGATGACTTAGTAGCTGAACTCCAAGAAGCACAATCGGAAGAAAAGAAAAGAGAGGAGTCTAAACTGAGAGCATCCAGAGAGAAGCAGTCAGCAGTTGAAGAACTTGGTGAAGGGGTAAGTTTTGTAAACCACTCTAAAGGGTGGTGGTCACAATGCATGTTTGAATTTCAATGTAAATAAACAATGTATTTTACACATGCTATGTACGACGATATGATTCCCATATCGATCAGGATGCGACATGACGACCTTTAACATTGCGACAAATTTCTGTTAACATTGCAAGTTTTGGAAATTTGATGTCGATGAAGATAGAACAGGTTATTTTTTATGACAGTCACAAAATTTTCACAAAATTTTCTTTTTGTAAAAGTGCTCAAAGTAAACAAATTTTGTAGCAAAAATTCAGAGGCTCCAAAGTGTTCAGAATGTTATTGGTGTGTACTGTAAAGTGTACTTTGAAGGTATTTATTGTACATTGTATGTATACTGGAAATTTGAATTCACTCAAGTCTCAAAGGGGTACAGAAAAAATACTACAAGTATATATCATTTGTTGGGGCACTGACTCAGACGTGCTAAATGTTGAGGATACCGTAAAATTGAAAAATCTATTTTTGTTATAGCTGGAAAATGTACTTAAGGAAAGAAAACAAGAATTGAAAGACGAACACAGAAAAGAATTGGAAAAACTGAGGAAGGAACATGAACGAGAAATCAAGAAAATCCGACAGGAGTATGAAGAAAAAGTAAGTTAAAAACTAAATATTCATACATCTTTTTAACTGCTGGCAGGGAGAAGATATCTTATTATTGAAACCACACAGTCAATTTCACTTGTGACGAAAACAAAAAACAGCTATTTGCAGATTCAAGTTCATCTTTGGTCATTGCCAGTTCTTGTGAAATGATCTCTAAAATAAGTCTAAATATCGGCGTATTCCATCATGCCTTGACAACGAAAGTTTGATTTGAGGTGTTTGAGGTGACAAGGTTATAGTCACCTAAGTAAATTTAGACTAAAATCATTTATTTGGTGAAAGATTAATTTCTTTTTTTGCAATTAGTTATCAATTTTTTTTATCAAGACCTGTAACCAAGTGGAAAGTACATTCATTTGGATCAATATTTACAAAGATATCACAGAATATTGCAAAATATCCCACCAAAGTATTGTGTTCAAAGGTTTAATATATGGTCACATTGACCTTTACAAATGGTTGGCAAAACGAACACGATTAGAGTGATTACTTTATTAAAGCACATAATGTTCTGGTGGTCAAATGAATTAGAGTTCTACACACAAACTAACAAATAGTTATTTCATTCACAAAAGGAGATTCATGAAAAGAAAACGTTGGCCGATAAGATCGAGGCAGAGAAGAAGAAACTTATAAAGGACAATGACAAAGTATTGGCAGGAACTAAGACGAGAATTTGAAAAGAAGAAAGAAAAATTACATGGAAAACACGAAGAGCAGGATATGACTTTGAAAGAGATGACTGAGTCATTGGATCAAAGAAGGAAAGATCTGGAACGAGAATTGAAAGAGCTAGAGAAAGAGGTAAAAAAAAAATGTTGTATATCATAGGTTATCCTGAGTATACTGTGAAGTATAGGGCTCATACCACTAATTGAATTTCCATAGACGACAATGTTAACATATGACGAGATTGCTATATGAAAATGACGAAGAAAGTTGAAAATATGGCTCAAAAATGGGAAATCAACATGCCAGTAATCAACCATATGAAAAAAACTAACATGTTGGCCAGCTCAAACTCTTGCAAATCTCAGGTAAACAAGACACACCTACTGTATTTGGATTGCACCAAGAGAAATCACTGGAAAAACACCAAGATTAGAACATCCATTAACACACAGAATAAACCCACAGGTACACAGCCGCTAAGTAGTAAACAAAAGACCACATGTTGGTCTCACCTCTGACCCAGGTGATTACGCCCTCAAACAGGGAGCACCTGAGAAAAATAATATTTAAAAAATTTCATTGGTTCTTGCTGGGCATTTAAATTGAGGGCTACGAGCAGCCATTGGTTAATTAGTGGCATGAGACCTATACACAAAGGCAGTACAGTAATCTCATTAATGCGATCTCGTACTGCCTGAGATCGAAAAAAATCAATCTTAGTCCCAGCCATGACTGAATGCTCGGAATCACACCCTGGGTGGTGAACCTGTATAGAGAAATATATTGAATGATAAAAATTGTGGTCAGTAAGTCAGAAGTGGAGGGAAGGTGATATTTTGTTTCTAGCTCAAGAAGGAATAACAAAATGTGTATCTAGAAATAAATTGAACACAGAACGTTTTCTGGGACCCATGTTTATCTACTGCTGCAATTGGTCTCTTTTTAAAATCTCCATCCATTAAAATAATTGCTGCTCTTTGAATTCTTTCTTTAACAATGGTTAAAAATAAATACCATAGCATCATACACATGCAGAATATGCTTATCATCTGCCATGTTTTAGTCAACTAACAGATCTACAAAGTAAGGTGCATTTTCAACATGAGCCAAATGGGTTCCAATGTACCGATAATCCTTTTGAAAACCTGATGGTTTAACATTATTGAGCATGTGACGAGATCTCGCCATGTGAACATAGCTAACAGAATGCTGTTGATTTTATGATAAATCCAGTCATAACGATAACAATAATTCAATTAATAGGAAAATGAACTTGAAAGGAGACAAGAAAAATTGAGAGAAGAAATGGACAAATACGAACAAGAACAAGACGTAAGTTGAGAACTATTTGTTATTCACACTCGTCAGAAATTCGATGTGATTCAATCTTTGTGTGACAGTTCTGGACATAGAATATATTTTTAAATGCAATTGCAAGTACTAACTATGCATTTTGCCACAGAATCAGTATTCCATGTTTGTGACTATGTGACAAGGCTGGATAACCATCTTAACATTATGATGATATCAATTTACTGTGCTCTCCTGGTGTCAACATAAACACCAATATTTGTCACATCTGTAGTGTTCCTGTACTGTAAATTATTTTGTTTTCACTAGAAATGTTTCAGCATTTTACGGCATTCACGGAAGTCACCAACATTCTGTTTCATTGAACCTTAGAGAAATTGTCACTGTAACAAAATCTGAGATTTTCAAAAATTTTCGCAATTCGTGAAAATTTGTCTCATGCAAAATTAAAGCGTTTCACAGTAGACTTTCTGTACAAAATGGGAGACAAAAATAACAGAATAAATTGTCTGTAATTGCTGGCTGTCAACTGAGAATGAACACCCTGCATTCATCTAGTATACTGAGTGATCATGGAGTGTTTTCATCAGTTGCATGTGGCACGCACCTATGGCATTAATGTTGACCACAGACTTGTCACATTTCATTTCAACCTTGTGTATAATTCTCCTCCTCATAGGATGCTTTCAGTAAGAGAGCCACCGATGCCAACGCTAGAGATCTTGAAAAAATGCAGGCAGAAAGAAAAGAACTGCAGAATGGCATCAAAGATGAAAAGAAAGATTTTGACAAACTTAAAAAAGACAAATCAAAGTTAGAAGCCGAGATACGAAAAATGAAGAGAACTCGAGAACAACAGGCTAAGAAATTGAGGTATGAATCCTTTGTCTTCTATCTTACAGTGACCTCCTCTTCATTGTTTGTAGTGGATAGAAGGATCTGCCTTCCTCATAAACATCAGCCCTCTTAACGACGAATCTCTTCTTTAACATAAAAATAATGAGTGCATTTTATTCATAAATGTAACTATAGACTACTCTCCCGGAACGTATCAAAACTGGGGTGAAAAAATACTGCTTTGTCATGGTGGAAAATACAAACTTGTCAGTTTGCTGATAGTCTGTAAGGGAATTTATTTTTTGTGACGTTGATTGGTACTCCCAGAAACACAATATCTAACATGCAAGTTTATGTTACACCCCCAAACGGGAAAGTTGTCTATATGTGGTCAGTGTAATGTTTTTCATCTTACAATCTAAAAAACATTGTAATACATGATCCATTAGAGAAATTCAGCTGACTGTAAACCTAAAATTGAGCATTTTACAGATGCATATAAATGTTACGTTTTCTTTATTTTGAAAGCATACATTGTATTTACCCCACATTCAAACACTTTCCTTTGTTTATATCGGCTGCAGTAAAAATAAATGTTCCGCATGAAGGAAATTTACACACGTCACTTAACTCAAATCACTCTGGCATAAATCACCTAAAATATTTTTTGCAGATATTATGTTATGTCTCTCTAAATTATGAATAAAAGATGTGTCATTACAAGAAAACTGCAAAGGATGTACTCAGGCAGTACTGGATTGCACTGACCTCTGTTACACACTGGTCAATATAATTGGCTGTACTGTGATGCATGCCCTCATATGTTGCTGTGAGTGGTGCTTCTATCTCAGATTACTTAGTTACTAGAGGTGTGATAGAGAAAAGAAGTACTATAAAATACTTTATTTTATCTGGAATTAATTTTCGCTGAAAAGGCTTTTTTTGGGCATTTTGTATGGAATTTATATTCACTGATTTTTGATGAGGTGAATGTGAAATATAGGAAAAAAACTATAATTCGCTGGATTTTATTTTCACGGAATCATCCCTTCAACGAAAATAGTGGAAATAAATTCCAAGCGAAAATAAAGTATTCTACAGTATATTGATTTTTTCTATCCATACCTCATTATATCTTTTTTTTTTCTCACAGCGAAATGTCGCAGAGATTGGAGAATACAGAGATCGATATGGTAAACAGTGCTGTTCCCAGGACGCCAAAAACTCCAGGATTGCAATTGGACGAACTGGAACCATCATCACCAGAACCAGAAGGAGAGGTGGGAAACATTCATTTGTATATCAACACCATTCTTTCCATACACCATCTCACCCCTCCCTGTGAGGTCTTGTTTACAATGTGCATGCATGCATGTGCAGTTACTGTTTGGCAAGAACTAGTCATTCACTCGAACATATAAAGGATGTTGTTGTCCGCTGATGTAATTAAATATACATGTGTGTGACTCAGTTAACAAAACAACATGTTATTATTTATTTATGGAAACTAATTCAGCTAAAAATAACTGTTCTCTCAGGGAATGAATTTAAATGAAAATATTTCAGCAAACTAAAGATTTGGATTTGGATAAAGACTATGGATTTGGAAATGATAAATAGCTATTCTTGGTGTTGACTTGCATGAGTGATAGATGAGTGGAATGATCACTTTTCTCTAATGATATGTCCTGCTGCTTACTCACTATTTTGACGTATATTTCAGGAACGTGAGATGGTACATCCTAGAGATCTATTCAAATCTGATGATGATGATGATGAGGAACACTTCACAGATGGTAAGTAATAACACCAAACACATCTAGATAAGAATGGAATGACTGTATCTTGAAAATAAACCCCTGCAACAATTGTCTTAGACTCACAAAACACAGATATAGGCAAATTCTGACATGGTATCTGTTAATTTTGTTTTTAATGGGAATGGTGTGGATGATTTTTGATCCCATCCTCCATATCTCCCAAATCTACTACTTTCTATGTATAAATTCTCAATAGACCAGACCAGTTTTTGCCCCCTGCCACCCAAAAACAAAACAAAAAACTTAGCATGTGTATTGTGTGAATCCTGTCTGAAGTGTACAATGAATATAATTTGCTGACTTTACAGATTGAAGTGTTTTAATCACAGAATTGAAGAAGAAATTGTCTTTTTTTTTAATTTGTAGAGGAGGATGAAGAAGAAGAGGAGAAAAAACGACCTCGGAAGAAAGTATCCGAAAAACCAAGACGCTCAAGTAAAAGAAGTTTGGTAAGTAACCTTATATTATATCAGGGTGTTGGAGCTTTTGGCAATACTTGCAATTTTTTATTGAGGCTTTCAGCAGTTGATGTACAATGTATTATTTTAATAAATGTATGCAGGATTATATCTAGAGGGACACAATTAACAGTAGCCAAGAGTGCACTAACTATCATGGCTACCATTTTCTAAAATGAGTGTCCAAACTGAGCACTGAAAATTTATAAAAAAATAATGATATCTTGTTTTTTGTCATCAACCTGTTTGTCAAAAAGAAGGGTTTACTTCACAAATTAACTTCCAAAGTTCTATTTTGTACCACACATATTGATTCTGTATTTTAGAAATCCAATGTTACCTTGAAAGTTCACAAACTTCTCATAAAATATAGAAAACATTTACATTCATACGTACATGTACAACCATGTATATTCAACAAACTGATGCAAACAAGCTCACGGACAACCGGATGTAAAAACGACCTCCCTTGTCTGTCAGGAGCACATTCAGTAACTTGCCAACCATGGAATATTCCATCACAGCCAGTTATTATGTTATAAGTATGTGAATACTTTATTTGTAGGCTGATCTACCAGAATACAGACAACGACACATAAACCAACACCAACAAAACAGACGTGCATGGAAAGACTATGACTCCGATGAATCTGAAGACTACAGGGGATTCAATGCTAAGCTACAGGGACACTATGGGTAGGTATACTCTTAAACTCCAGTAAATGTGAAGTGTGTATCCATCTTTCATGAATATTCATGAGATCATTTAATTTGCACAAATGCATCAATAATCAAAAAGCTAGAATAGTGACAGGCGTATTTATAACGGGTGTTGAACTGGGTAAAGGTGGGGTAAAGGAATAAACTTTCTAACAAATCACTGAAAAGCTACCACACAGTAATATATAGGGTTGAAAGGAGTTTTATTGTCTGTGCATGTTGTCCACATGTGATACGTTACATGGGACGAACAGCATTCTTTGTTTATTTTAGTTCTACTGTACTCTACCGCCCAGTGTTCTCAACTCAGAAAATCATGATTTTTAGGGGTCAGCGCTTACCCGAGCACTAGTCTCGAAAAGAGTGCAAATGACAATTTTAATTCACCATGTGACAGATTGAGGGGGATACTCCTTCTTTGAGGGTAAATTAAATGATGAAATTAATTGCGTGGTCATTGACTTTTACAATGAAGAAACAGAAATGGTCACAAAAATGTGCAATATTAATTACGTACCACCCAAATTTATGAGATTAAAAATATTAGAGTCTGTTGGAACACATTCAAAATCTTCAACATTTTGAATGTGTTGGAATGTACGTAAACTCTCGATGAAATGCACTTTTCGCCATGATGTTTTTTTGCATGATTTGACCTGCAACAGAAGATTTCATATTTGTGACAAATCCTACTTATTTTTTGCATTACAATATCAATACTAACAACTTTTCATTATTATTACAGTGATTTGAAGGTGAGACTATCACTAGAAAACGATGCCATTGCCAGAGCCAAGGAGTTTTTAAGACGCCAAAAAACATCACTAAAAAGACGTCAACTAGCCTTACAGGAAGCACGACAAGAATTGAGGAGAGATCTTACAGACCAGCAAATCGATGGCGCAACAGACTCGGCTTCTTTCTTAGAGGATGTGCAGATTAACCTGGAGAAGGTCAGTCAAATGAACAGCAGACAAGTTATTTTTGCTTTCATCTTTTTTTCTGAATTAAATTATCTGATATGTATTAATTAGCAGTGGTTATCATGCAACAGGCATGTACGTACTTCACAAAAGTAAATTTTAAAATATTCGTTGGTGCAAATTACATACCATTGATCTTTTTAGTCGCCATTCTAACATAGTATTATGTTTCATGGTCTTGTCTATATGCATTCTAAATCAATGATTGGCATGTCAAAACTGATTTTGTTAAAACATAACGAGAAACATATGCAGGTCAATTTGATTTGATTTGTCAAATACCTGTCATCGACAGTGAATCATTTTTTGAGATTCATGTATATACAGATCTTTATTCTCAATGGCCATAACTTTATTGCAAAAACATAAAGAAACTATGTCATCATAATTCCCATCTCTTTAGATTCATCTAACACAGATCTACATTAAAATTGGCCTCAATATTGCAAAAATAGACAGTGGCTATGTCATCAACGTTTAAATCATGAGATTGATAATTTTTTATTAAAATCGAGCGATGTCATTGCAGTACAGACAAATTTCACAAAACTTCAGATTTACAGTTAGGCTGCCTTTGGTAGAATGTGAAAAGAATCTGATATGTGTATTTTATCATAATTGTTTTGACAGGAGGCACTGGAGCTTGACAAAGCCATGGTTAATATGAGTACTGGACATCGACTTGTCAGAGAAAAAGAACACAAATTAAAATTATTAGAAGAATCTTTAGCTGATGTGGTAAGTAACACAACATCACCAGATTCTATTTCACCTTCTAGAAAAGTTTGGTCTAAAAAGTTCACAATCAGTCGTTGTAGCGTGGCATGTACTTATTAAGTGATCCATGTTTGTAATAGGGTTCATACAGTACTAGAATATTTTTGAAAATCCAGTAATAATGCCTTTTAGTTCTGGGAAATGTACAATACTCATAAAAATATATTAAGATGTAAAAAATGAATTGTTTGCACAATCATTGTAAAACTCCAGCTTTTTCATTACGGCTGCTATATATCTTACATTGACAACAAAAAAAAGGAACAGAAAATGATCTTTGTTGAAGATGAAACATTCCAGGAAAATTCTGGAATTTTATTTCGTTTCAGTTTTAGGAACCCAGTTATAAACATGTAACATTTTGACCGTTGTAAAGTTTCACACAGACACTCAGAATTACTCAATGTAAATCAAGATTATGGGAATATTGTTTTGTAAATACTGCGCCCTCTAGTGTTAACATACTTGATGTTTAAAGAATTTGTTTAAATTCCTATTTTTGAAATCATAGAATGGCATACTTCATCTTGAGGTAAAAGTTGCATTTTGATTTGCATCCTAAAATATTATTGTGGTCTTGGCAATAATCTATGAAAATGTGTGAATATACATACATAATTGCTTGAAATATTTGAGAATTATTCAGATTTGCTGGTATTCTAAATCACTGATTATAGGAATTATGAATGGATGTGAATGTTTGTGAATCCACACACAGTAGAATATTATAAAAAAAATGTGAATCTGAAACCACCAACATTTGGCCTTGCAATCACTAGATTTTTAGCTCCGCTGTCGACTTTGTCGAGCGGAGCTTATCATATGAGTGATTGTCTGGCGTCGTCCGTGTCAATGTTTTACTTTTTAGCTCCGCTGTCGACTTTGTCGAGCGGAGCTTATCATATGAGTGATTGTCCGTCGTCGTCCGTGTCAATGTTTTACTTTTTCGACTTCTTCTTGAAAACTACAAGCCTGAATACTTTGATACTTGGTGTATATGTACCTTGGGGAGACCTCTCAGGTTTGTTCATTTCATGTTGATATCTTCAATTCTCTAATTTTGGTGAATATTTTTGTAATTTTTGGTAAAAAGTGATATTTTCGACTTCTTGTTAAAAACCGCAAGTGCAATTGCTTTGATATTACATGTATAGGTACTACATGTGGACCTCTCTCAGATTTGTTCATTTTGTAATGATATCTTTAATTCTCTAATTTTGGTGAATATTTTTGTCATTTTTGGTAAAAAGTGATATTTTTCGACTTCTTGTTAAAAACTGTAAGTTTGATTGCTTTGATATTACATATATAGGTACTACATGTGGACCTCTCTCAGATTTGCTCATTTTGTGATGATATCTTCAATTCTCTAATTTTGGTGAATATTTTTGTAATTTTTTGTAAAAAGTGATATTTTCGACTTCTTGTTAAAAACCAAAAGTTCAATTGCTTTGATATTACATATATAGATACTACATGTAGACCTTTCTCAGATTTGTTCATTTCGTGGTGATATCTTAAATTCTCTAATTTTGGTGAATATTTTTGTCATTTTTGGTAGAAAGTGATGTTCTCGACTTCTTGTTAAAAACTGTAAGTCCGATTGCTTTGATACTATACATATTGTTCATTTTCTAATGATGTCTTCAGTTCTTTAATTGAAATGTGCATTGCTAACAGCAGAGCTATCTCAGCCGAGAGGCTGCTTGTTTTTTTTAAAGACTGACCTCCCCAGCAACAAGTTGACTCAATTGATTTTAGGGGATTTAAGAGTCTGGATTCCTACAAAATCAGTCTCATTAGAGGGCACATGTGGAACAAAGTAGAAATATCAGTCACCACTTATCATTGCACACATGGAACACCAGGAAAGACAAGTGAAACAATTAATTGACACAGACTCTATAGAAAGTGAAATATTCACTGGGTTTATTTTAGCAGAATTTTATGTTGCAGGGATAGTCACTGAATATTAAATTCACTGCTTTGTGAAGGAAACGATAAAATTCTGTTGTTGACTTTTAATATTTGCCTTTAACGATGTAACATTGCAGATAGTGAAAGACAAAGAGTAACAAAAACCATTCATGTTAATACATTAGAACAGCGGAATATATTTTTCTAACTCTTGTGTAAAATAGAATAATGTTGTGATATATATTTTGAAATACCATGGAATGTGTTCACCATCAATTAAACATACATGTAATTTGTCACATATACCTGGTAGTTGATTATCAATAATAAGTATTTTCATCACACAGAAACCACAAAGAAGTCTAGACTGACAGAGACAGAGGTGATGGAGTTACTCAAAGAGTGCAAGGAGAATGACAACTATTCTCCTTTAGTGAGGGTTATTGGGGAGGTGTTCTCCTGTACAGAATCCCTTAGTACTAGTTTTCTGAAAACTGAGAAATCAGAGGAGCTGGAAGAAAAATTGGATGAGGATAAAGACATTGACGAGTCTGCTCAAAAGTTAACTGTTGAACAGGATGAATCTGTGCAAAATAACGTTACTGTTGACATTGAAGCTGTGAGGCGCGTGTATCGGGCTATATTTATGCAAGGGAGTAGTAGAACAGAGAATGCATTGCTGAATGCGCTCATGTATTTATCTCCTACTGTAGAAATAGATTTACGTTACAAGAAACCGCTTACACTCGATCCAAACTATCTGAACTTGTTTCTGATTGTAATGGAGAACCCAATGCTTCAAAGTCCTGAGTATTTGGAGGTAGCCTTACCATGTTTCTTTAAAGCCATGAGTCTTCTGTCCATACCAGCACAGTGCAGGTTAGCCAAGGTTTGGTCTAAGTATCCCATTGATAATCTGAAGAAGAAACTGGAAGTGTTGCAGCAGCTGATTACTTTTAAGGTCATAAGCGGCCAATTTGGCGGAATTGCTACAAGGACTCTCCAAGTGAGTGAAGATGATGCAATAATAAGTGCAACAAAATGTATGAAAATTTTATATTATTCTAGTATACTGGCTGGAATTGTTGATAAACACAATGATACCATCCAGCATAGTCATGAAGATCCCCTCAATGACCTCTTTGGTGCTATTGGACATGAACCGAAAGAAAGACGCACACCTAAGGAAGACCCGCTGGAGAAGGAACTAGGTGTGAAGGCCATTGATTCATACAAACCTGCAATGTCGCGAGAAGATTTTTATAATGATCCTCTGAATGAACAGATTGAAATGGATCGTGATTTCACACACTATAAGAGTGATCTTGATGATCGGTTTTCATTCCTGAACTATCCATTCATTCTCACCCCAGCTACTAAGAATATTGGACTGTATTATGATAACCGCATACGCATGTATAACGAAAGGAGGATGACTGTGTTGCACAGTCTCGTTCAAGGTCAACAGATCAACCCTTACCTTAGGTTGAAAGTGCGACGTGATCATATCATAGACGATGCACTTGTCCGAGTGAGTACATATTCAATATCATGTACATTAGACTGTTTTTGCAAGTCACACAAAACAATTGCAAAATTTTGTGTGTCACTGATAAATTTTTTTCCTCATAGTGAACTTATTATTGTGCACTCTTATTACACTTTTCACAGCTAGAAATGGTGGCGATGGAAAACCCTGCTGATTTAAAGAAACAATTATATGTTGAATTTGAGGGTGAACAAGGCGTTGATGAAGGTGGAGTGTCAAAAGAATTTTTTCAGTTGGTTGTAGAGGAAATATTCAATCCTGATATTGGTGAGAAGTAGGGTTTTCTATGTCCTTTTTTTTAATTGCAATTTATTTTCAATACTGTCAACATATTACGTATTATGCATGTTTGAGGTATGTTAAGGCAGTCATGTCCATGTGCTTTAATAACTAGAAAATGAAGATTTATCTTGGGATGGATGAGAGGATGACTTATAGCATTCTTTGAATGCTTTTTTTCTAAACACTTTACAAACTATGTTACGGGGCAGTTGACTTATTACATTCAGGCGTGACTCGCCAAGTATAAATGAATGTTACAAGATCATTATGCAGGCCAGTTTGTGGACGATGGTATGTGTTTATCGGCCAATATTGAAGAAGTGATTTACAAATCAAGTTTGCATGGTACTCTCATGTATTTAGTGGGAGGAGCAGGTCTCTTGTAGTAAGATTGGTGCAGTTAGTCAGCTGATCAATCAATAATTGGTAGAATAAATTGAAAGGGAAACAAACTAAAAGGGTGTGAAGAGACATTGTATTCACTAAAATGGACTAGAGGGAGGTAGGTGCTACATTATAACAAATGTCTACCTACAATGTAGTAACTAAACAAATGGTTAACACTGAACAGCTGGCAAAGATGAACAACACATGTAATTTATTTTATTCAAATTGTGAGATTTTCTACTCATCAATGATACAGATAATACACAGATGCAAGGGACACATTAAAATAAATAAAATCAACCAAACATTAAACAAACATTAAACAAACAAAATGATAACTATGCTAGCAGACAGTGTAATGTAATAAATAAAATTGATGGTATGTTATTAGATAAAAAAACTCTCACAACAACAAAATTACAACGAACCTCTCACATGACTGGGATATTTGGTCATGTTTGTGTATGGTCGTGTGTGTTTATAATGTCACGTTATCGAGTGTTCTTCAGTTTGTCAACTTAAATACTTGACAATAATTTACAAAGCTATCCTACAACTAATTTTACTCAATTTAAAACCCAGGGCTATCTTGACCTGTACCTCTAATGTGGCGATTATTTGAAACATAATTATGTGCTTTGATTCTAGGAATGTTTCGAAATGATGAAGTCACTGGTGATTATTGGTTTAATCCGAATTCATTTGAAAGTGATGGTCAGTATACATTGATTGGAATTGTGCTGGGACTAGCCATCTATAATAATATAATATTAGATGTTCATTTCCCTATGGTAGTCTATCGAAAACTACTGGGTAAGACAGGAAGTATACAGGACATGAAAGACTCTCACCCTGTAAGTATATCATCTATATTTTTGGTCCTTATCACATGTTGTCCAGAACAGGAGCTTGCATTTAGGGTTCCTAACATCATTTCTCAAACATGCATAGGTTTTATTCAAATTGAATGTCATGCATATTTGACCTCTGATTCATGTCAGTAAATTTTGTGATATTATTCAAAATACCCACTGGTGGCCAAGCTTTATTTTTATATATTGTCTTTTCTTTGACATGCCTTGACAGTTTTTTTTACAGTTACAAAAACAAGACTAATAATCTGTGTTCTCAAATATTAATTCATCCAGCAAATAGAAACAGGGACATTGTCATAATTTTGATATCAAAAGAACATGCGATGCAGAATTTATTCTTGTATTATTTTACATATTAAGAACCAAAGGTACAATGTACTCCCTAAGAACAGTTTTAATGCTGATAATTGTAAAAAATAAATAGTTCTGTCACTGTGTGTGGCTTAAAAAATAACATTTAGCATGACTTTAAAACCTGACAGACAATACATTTAAGGGGATTGGTTTAATTGTTACAGAATATATATATCTGTCTTTTACTGCTGAATAACTACTAATTTGTTTTTTTCTTCAACCTGCTCAGGTTATTTGCAGCAGTCTAATGTCTCTATTAGAATATGAAGGTGATGTAGAAGAAACATTTATGCAAACATTTGAAATCAGTTTACAAGATTTGTTTGGTGCTCCTGTGACTTATGACCTTAAAGAGAATGGCAGTTCTATTCCTGTCACGAATGAAAACAGAAAGGTGAGTGATTCTATTGCGGTAAATGTAATTACAAATGGTGGTGGTTGGGGGGTACATGTATAGATGGATGTGCATTGGTAACGTTTTTCTCTTTGAATATAATATAAAAGCATGTGACCTGTCATTGTAAAGTACTAAACTGTAAGTGAAAAAAAATGACGAGCAGTTTGCCAAGTTAGCCTAAATGTCACGCATCCTGGTACTGCTGCAGTGTCTAATATTATATCTCAATTTTTGATGTTTCAAATTACTTATTAATTTCAATGACATACATTTTTGGGGTGAAATAATTTGCATTCTCATTCATAATAATGCTGTATGCCCAGAAAGTAGCTGATTGTGTACATTTCTAGCAAAGTGGGTTTTCAAAACCAAAGCTGAAATCTCAAAATCAGAAAAAACAAATATATCACAAATATGGCCACCAGAGGGCAGTCCTACATCTGAGCATCCCTGCAATACATCACTTCATCATTACTGCTGATTGGGAAAGTTGCTTTGAAATAACTAGGACTAACAATGACAGTGTGAAATCTTCTATGAATGTATCTATCATTTTTTTAGTTCATTATGGGTAACCAAGCTTCATATTAGATTGTATAATTCAGTCTGAATGAATGGCACACAGAATACAAGAGTACTATACTTCTTGATACACTGTTAGTATCTTGTCAATCATTGATGTCCTCATAGCAAATGTGTGTGGACAATTTGCAGTATTCAATACCCTAGTATTAGCTTACAAGAAATGAATGTGTCATTGCATCAATGTAAAGCAAGTAAAAACAGTGATTTCCTGCCATTTCCTCTACTACAAGTACATGTCCAATTGAAGCAGACATTAACCCAAAATTACATTTATTGTATGCTTGATTATTAAAATGTGACATATTTTGACCATAGACGTAACACTGTCGTTTACATAAGTGTTTGTGCTACTAATAGAGCAAACACAGCATATTAGCATATTGATTTGTGTTCTTTATTATTTGCAGGAGTTTGTTGACCTGTATGCAGATTATGTTCTAAACATATCTATTGAGAAGCAGTACAGGGCTTTTCTAAGAGGGTTCCAAATGGTGACTGACGAATCGCCTTTAAAACAGTGGTTCACCCCAGAAGAGATAGAACTCTTAGTTTGTGGTAGTAAGGTAATTTTTGTACTGTTTTATCCGTTACCGGTATGTGTATCTCAAATACCGTCATCTATGGCACTTGGTGGTGGTAACATCATACATTTTGTACATCATACACCTTGTTTTATTGGGAAAAGCTTGCAAAAATGTTTGCTTGAAGATTCTTTTTTTTCATGTTGTTATTATTAATCCTTTAATGCCATTAAGGTGAAGAAAATGCTAGAAGCGTCATCGTAAAAAAATCAAAATTTGCATGTTTCAGTGGTTATTCAGTCTGAAAAAGTTGCATTACCGGCATAATTTTGTTTGTAATTTTTGTCATGTCAGGTAATGTATATATACTGTAAGAATACATCACCAAGCAGTTCTGGAGATTTAGTTGTAAATTTTCAACATCTTAAGGTGTCCTCATGCTAGATTCTCTGTTCTGCGAGTAAAGATGCACTGTATTTTAATCTATATTCGATGTGAAGCATTTTCCATTGAAATTAGTCTGAGATGCACACCAAACTCATTAGTTGTTACCAGTTATGGGTTAGGACCATCCGTTTTGAATTTATTTACAATTTTACTTGTGTTACCACTGTGTTGAGCAAATTCAAACATTACCTACTTCCCAGGTTTACCTGTGTTTCGCAGGCTCCGAAAGTAGTGTAGTGAAGACAAATAATAACTTTGTTGATGAACAACAGAAATTTGATTTTTGGCCAAGTTTTGAAACTTAAGTTTTGCTGATAATACAACTTTAAGATGTTGAGCACTCGTGTCACCTGACAGTTCACTCATAAGATTCATCTGATCAGTCATGTTAGAACAATCTTATATAAATGTTCAGTTACTCAGTAAATCTGTTGGAGATGTCCTTCTAAAGTAGTAAATATGGTATATGTAGCATGCATCAAACCTGATATTTTTTATGTAAAATTGTTTTGTTTTTTTGCAGCATTTAGATTTTAATGCCTTAGAGGAAGCCACTGAATATGATGGAGGATTTACCAGGGATAGTCCTATCATCAGGTAACAATTATTTCATGCCTCATTTCAATAAAAGGTTTTACACATCCCACAGCAATACATTTGATTCACAATTGCATCTCAACTGGACAACTATTTTGTATTAGTAATTAATTGTAGTGATTTTTTTTTTATACCAGTCCATGTTCACATTATAACAGGTGTATGCAATCAACATTCAGTAACTAAACAAGTTGCATTAAATTCATCACATTGCTGTTTTTTTTGTTCACACCCAATGCTCCAGTGTATTACAGCCACTTTTGCTAACTCAAATATGTTTTAGTTTTCTGGTAATGTATGTAACATCATCATACACAGTTGTACTGTAAATGCATTTATGTTTCAGTGGATTTTGTCGCATACATTTACACATTTTGATGACCATTGAATTCAGTCTGTGATGCTTTAAATACCAAATGTAAAAGTATTTACAGAGTTCTCCTTACCCATATATGGAATACTTTATCAGGTTTCTCCCTGGGAGGATACCTTATGGCTGTTAACTCTATCATATTCATCATTATGATGGTTAAGCTCTATTGTTTTTTTATGAGGGGCCCAGCTTTGTAATAGTCTAGGGAGAACCAAGCAGTGTGTTTGGTTGCCTATTTCATCACAGCTTGTGCTGATCAGAGTTACTTTGAGTATCTTCACCCTGGAGTTTATGTCTCCTTGTTTCCATTCTGTGATAGGAATTTTTGGGAAATTGTGCATAATTTTGATGAAGAGGACAAGAAGAGGTTGTTAATGTTTACAACAGGCAGTGATCGTGTACCTATTGGGGGGCTGTCCAAACTGAAGTTGATTATTGCTAGGAATGGTCCAGACTCTGATAGGTAAGTTATTAAACATCATGTACCATATATCTTTACATAATTATTTATTGTGTGGAAGCATCTTGGTAAGATTGAGGTATCATAACAATTCTAATGAATGGTGGAGGGGGGGGGGTCATTCAGTTGATGGTATTTTGGTAGTAATTTGGTTGTTGTACATTAGGTTTGTTTGAAACATGAGTATGTATGTCTAGTAGAAATTTTAATACTTAAAGCATCAATAGCTGTGGTTTTGAATATTTTTTGTTTAAATATAGCCACATAAAGATAAACAAATCTTAACGAAATATTGTTTTAAACATAATTGCATGGCTGAAGAGTGTACACAAGGCTAATGTAACATAAAATTTGATATGAAAACTAAGGGTCGAGTTGTTATCATTTTGTCAAAATCGGACGAGTGGTAGAAAATCCTGATACACACCATTATGGGAAATGACCATCAAATTATTGATGAGAAGCCATCAGAGAAACAAGCTCAGTCTCTCAAAATGGCAACATATTTGACATTTCGTCAAGAGCCCCCTGGTTATTTGTCAAAAACCCATGAGGTTTGGTTGTCAAAATTCGATAGATGATGCTGAGCGCGACCCCAAGACAATCTCTTTGTCTTGGCACAGGAAATGTTTTGTTGAAAATAAAACTTAAACTTAAAACTAAAAAAATATTGTAACAGCTATTGCCACTTAAAAGTTTTCATTCATACTTTTGGTAAACACAATTCTATGTTGCAAAATTTTGAATTTGAAATGACAAAACAATCATTAACTAAGCTTCGTAGTGTATATTAAGATTTGTCTTTTTAAGGTGGCAATTTTTTGCCTTTGCTGCGTCTCAGTAAGTCCACAGATGCCAATTAAATCAACATCAAAATCTAACTTGCAATGTCCTATCTAATTACAGATTACCAACTTCTCACACTTGCTTCAATGTACTACTATTACCAGACTACAGCAGTAAAGAGAAGCTCAATGAACGACTTCTCAAGGCAGTGTCTAACGCCAAAGGGTTTGGAATGCTTTGAGTTTTTACAGTGCACAGACTCAAAGAAACTTAAATATAACTTGACATGTGCCAGCTGAACAGTTAGTTGCCTGCAAAAACTTTGTGAAAATACAATAATTATACAAATAGTTATTTAACATAGTAATGGTAATTATATTGCTGACAGAAGAATGCGCTAGTATTCAATTTTCGTTTGGTAGAGAAATGAAATTAATATAAATGCCTACTGATTATCTATATTTTATGTTGAATTGAGAGTACCGATAGTTTTACTTGTCATTGGGTGTACATTCAATAATCCCATGTTGCATCATATCTAGACAGAATATTCCACTTTAATTTCCTCAAAAATCCTCTTCAGGATACATATATCCCTGATGTCAGTTACAATTTTCTTGCTGAGTCACATTTTAATCAAGTATTTTTCTTAGTTTTGCTATGACTTTCACCCACAGTTGTGTACATCATTCATGTCTTGTTCATTAAAACCCAAGCATTGTCAGTTCTCCTTATCTCCTTATCAGGTACTGTAAAAACATTATTTTTCAGTTGTATTGAACAATGAGTTCTATTGTAATTTCACATTTGTCACTTGCATTTAATTAGCAGATATCAGAAGTGAATAATTAATGTGTTTACAGTATATATCGATAATTACATTTCAAAAACTGTGCTTTCACACCTAATTTAGGTTATGTGTGTAATGCAGTTTGGGGTATTCCTAATTGGTGATATGGAAAAGCGTATTTTCACATGATTGTATCATTGCAAGTTTAACTTCAAGTAAAATGGAAAAAAAAAAAACACTACAGAATGACCATATATGTGCGTGTTCATAGAAGTTCTAATGCAAATGAGTCTGAAAGAACTGGTCATATTAGCCTCAGTATATGTGTGTGTGTTCTTGCGAAATCAGAACTTTATTTCTTGTGTATTTGCAGAATGCATATTACATGTTTTGTTTTTATTCCACATTTGAACCTTTCCCTGGTTAACAAAATCATCTACTGTGTTCTGTCATGTTATCAGGTAGCCGTAAGTTACATTGATACATGTACACACATTGCATACCTTTGTAAATTCCTGGCATACACAAAAACAAATTCTATTCAGACTAAAACATATTACCGCTGAGATAAATTATTCTGAGATTGACCATCTACAGTATTTCATTAGGCAAATGGAAGACGTTTTTTTTTTTCTGTCATACTGCTGAGAAATGTTTTTTCTTGCACCACAAATAGAGTACCGCATATGTGCTCCGATAATGACAGGTGTCTGATAAAAAAAAAATGACATCAGAATGATCCAGTAGACAAGTATTGCAATTGAAGCCTTACATGCACTTTTATTAGAGATGTGATTATAATAGAGTAAATACAGTACAAGTTGTACTAATTATTTTTCTCTAAATTCAAATTAATAATATATAATTTGAATTCAACCTTGGAGAACATGGAATGAACAGTATCATAGTTGTAGAGGTGCAAGTTCATTTAAATACAATATGGCAAAAGGGTACAACATTGGCTCGTCTACCTTATCCCTACAGCACAACTTGTTTGAATGATATGCTTTGGGTTTTCAATATCTTGAACTTAGATTGATATGTGTACTTGATAAGTCTTTCAAAGCACTGTATACGAGTATTCGTCAGATCATGCATAATTTGCAATACAGTAAATAACTAAAATAATATAAGAACAAATTCCACTATATTAGCTCTGTCTTAGATGAGCTAATAGTCGCCCACCCCCTGCAATCCACACATGTACAGTCTCTTCAAAAAGCACTTTGGATATTGATAACTGTTACATATTTAATTTAATACATTTTTTTCCATAATTAATGCATATTCTGACTATCCAAAACTGTCTTTACTAATTCTGTGTGAAAAATAAATACATGATACTGCATGTAAATATCAATCTGGGTTTTGAAGAATCATCCATTCGGGGGGACTGCTTCTTTGAGTGAAATGCATAAAGTATTATGGCTTGCAACTATTTCCACCAACCACGAATGCAATCTAAGACTGGTGTGGTTTAATTTATTTGAATGCTTTCAGCTATTTTCTCTAGCATCATTTCTATGCTATAGTAATTTATAGAAATAAAATTCTTGCATTATGTGCCAAATGATTGAATATGCCTGTGAAATGCTTGGTTTTATTTTACTAGTTAGTGTAGTAAGGCTGTGGCTAATGTTTCAGTCACAAACAAGTTCCACAAACTGCCAGTGCTCACAGAAGACCAATAACTAATTATTTTAATTTTTGAACATCAAATTCAGTTAAAAATGAACTCAATTGCCTTGAATAGAGGCATTTCCAAATTGTACTGTTTAATGTTGACAAACAGCGGAAAGTACCAAGTATGTACTGCTCACATGTATATTTTTTTAATGCGCAATAGCAATAAAAGGAACCTATAATGGTATCCAGCTTGCAGCACGTCAACAAGGGGAAAATATATTGGGTTTGTGCAAAACTCCTAAAATCAGAATTTGAACAATTTCTTTTTATGGAGGTGCCCCTGTTAACCATACATAGGGTTTGTACTGCCCAATCTTGTTCAAATGAATGTCAGTATTGGATGTTTTGGGCTTTCTTTTAATTCTTCACATACTTGTCCACTTATAACTTAATGTGCAAGTGTTGCACTGCATAATCAGCTTATGAATATTTATTACCACACTTAACAGGGCTGTCTCTTCGAAATTGGGTATTTTCTGAAAGTATATATTGAGAGTGAAGTGAATTTGTCTAGATGGCTCTTAGTGGAGTAACACATGGTACTGATAAAATACCCTAGTACTGTTAATGTCCCTCGAGAGCAAAGAAGTCAAGAGGCCAGAGTGTTGTAAAGAACATGAATATACATGTTCGAGATTCACAGGTTAACATTACACTCACTGTTACTGGGGTTATTCCAGTGTATAATATTAACAGTTGATCTTTTTTGGTGTTTTATTATTTAACACTACTAGATATGTATTAGAAACACCACAAGAAAGTGTGAATTGAAAGGAGTTACAAGTTACATAACATATGCATGCAGCTACCATGATGGGTTTTGTAGAAAATGTGGTTAAATAGACTAAATCTTGCCAAACTTGTGGTATAATATTGCCATTGTTCTAATAGTGTTCTATCCTTCACTTAATCAGTACATACGTACCGCATTATTCATCTTGCAACCTAACTCAATAATATTGATTTTTTGCACAAACCAGATTATCATGAGCCATGAAATAACTATGCAAATTAGTCACGTGTAGTAATAAAGGGATGTGCCACTGATAATGCTGTATTTGGCGTTTGTTTTCTTCAGAGATTGAGCAACATATCAAACTGTTATTTCTATATTTGTCAGCAAATTAAATCAAAGAAAGCTTAGAAAGAACTCCCATGTGCTGAGAGTATTGCAGACACATTAAATATAATTTGAAATTACTTAGCTGAAAACTAATTATGCAAATCAGAAAATAACATGAACAGATTTGATGTAAAACTAATTAGTCTGCGCAATGTAACAAAAACTCTATGTACCAAGTTTAATTGAAATGTGAT